CTATGCTGACTTTCCAGCAAATGAACTATAAGTAAATAAAAAATATTTTTGAAAGTAATGGTAATGCAACAAGAAAAGACAGAAGAGATTTGAAAGCAGATGCAGCAATTTTAGAGTTGCACCTATCCCAAAATAAAACTATTTATGCGGAATATTTATTATTCAGATACGTTTTACAGCAAGTAATAGGATGCATGAGATGCAATGTGAGCTGCCTTTAGGACTCATCCTATGGAACAAAAAATCCTAACACCATTTGTTCTTTACTAGAGGAATAGCAACTGATGCATAATTTGAACTGTTGATATTGTGATCCTTGAAACATTTTCACATTAAATGAAATCAGTTGTTCTAATTAATGTGTATAGGGTTATTTTAACAAAATAATTCTATACACTATAAATGTATATTAGAATCAGTGCATTCATTTTTATGAAATAGATCTCTACAATGGTTACAATTATACTTGCTTTATTTGATATACAGCATTATATTACAGTTTGTCTTCCTTCTGTCCAGACTTTATAAAAATTACTACAGTATGTCAATATGTTTCAATATTAGGATATTTTCTTTTAAGTATTTTATATCAAATAAATTGTAAATACATATTTAGTTATCTGTTATTTTTTATTTTATTAAATGATTTTGCAAATTGAGATTTATTGAGGAAATAAATGTTTATTTACTCTGCAGTTCAAATAGAGCATACTTTATAAATCAACACATTTAATTAAGAATAAAGATTTTTATTTTACAAGTACATTTAAGAATTCAATCATATATAGACCTATTGAGGAATCTCTTTAAAGTCTTTAAAGTTTGTGATTTTTAATGCATATTGAAGTTATTTAATAAGTATGGCCTCAGAATGTTAGGAAAAAAGTAGTTTGGCAGCTAAATTTATCAATTTCTTCTTTGGCAGAGAAGACATCACACTAAGCATTTCTTATATTGTTCACTTAATAAGACAATATTTGTTGGGTCAAAATTCTATGCAACTCAGAGTGTATAGAGGTTCTAAGATCACAATATGTCTTCAGAATAAAACATTATGTCTTCTTGAAAAATATGCCATATACAGTATACAGCTACAGAAATAAGTTGGGGAAAAAGTCTAAATAACTATTTCATTAGAAGCTAAAGATACATTTGTTTTATACACTAAAGAATTTCTCAGTGCTGAGTGCTGTGTTCACAACAAAGATTGAAAAGAAGCTTAGAAATCAAGTACTAGCCTTTTATCATTCTCAAAAAATATATGAAAATAATCACATTATTTCAATTGTAGAAAGATAAACAATAGCTTTCTGCTAACAGATAAGATACTAAGTTAACTTTTATTCAATGTGAAGGTGTTGACAGAGTTGGAAGAAAATTAAAATGTAATTACAGCATTATCAGCCTGAAGGAAGAGAAATGTTTATTAAGCTACTGATATTGTTTATGCTACTCATACAGTATATTATAATTTATATTGTATATAAAGTTGTTGCTGCTGTTAAGATCTTGACTGAGAGAACAATAAATTTCTCAGTCATAGCAAATCTTTGCTACTGTGATTGAAATAATGATTAAAGTCATCAGGACAAATGAATTTATCGGACATATTTATTTTTCTGAATTAGAAAACAGGATTAAGAAGCAGAAGGAGAAAATCCTTTGCTGCTTATTGGCTATATCTTGTAGCTATCTACTTCTACAGAAATGCTTTGACCTCAGAAAGCCTGAGAAGGATCTCAGGCTCTCTCACCTCTGTACATGAAAATAATTTAGACAAGCTAGATAGCCACTCTAAATTTATTTTCTGTTATGGCTTTGCAATCTAACTGAAATCCAACATCAACCAAGAAGCCTCAGGCTTCCTATCCCTGCTGCACAGAGTTGTTGTGAACTTGTTTTATACTACCACTATCATAGGGGGCTGCTGTTTCTAAAAATCTCTATATGGCGGATGTCATTTATAATGCTGCAGAGTATTCAAAAGAATATTATACAAAGTGCATTGATAGTGTGAAAACACCCTTCTTTGGAGGATAGAAGTAGTAATGTCCCTGAAACCCAGCTGTTGGAGACTTATTCAGACAATATTGCACAATTCACAGACAATTTGGCTGAGACCGCCCCGAAGTGAAGTTCATGTAGAGATGACCACAAAAAGCCTTCAAGCAGCCTTACTGAGCCTACCAGAAGACATTGCTGTTTCAGAGTTTTGAAGAGAAACACTTTCATGTCAATATACTTTATGAAGCATTCTATCAAATGCTTTTACACAACCCTAGATATATACTATCAAGCTCTCTCTGTGTGTGTGTGTAGTGTTCTGGATCTGAACTTGTATGCAGTTTCTAAAATGAAAGGCACATTTTGAATATGATTTCGATGGACAATTCATTAACCAACTGAATTTGTAATTTTGTGAACATAAACCTAGAAAGCTTAGAACCAAATACTGTGAATCTGATCAATTAATTTTAACCCCTATATTTATACCAACAATAGTAGCATCCATATATCGCATTTTTTTCCTTATCAGCATGTTATTTTTGTAAGAGTCATTTAATCATTTAAATATGGAAAATATCAAATATTAGAAATTATATTTGTTTAATGTTGTAGAAGGAGAATACTACTGGGTGAAGAGAAGATCAAGGAAATATATTATCAATTGATATACTAATTATGGAAATATAAAAATTAATTATTATTGATTGTTTCTTAACTATTATTAATTGTATATTCTTGTCTAAAAAAATTATGAACCAAGACAACGCGCTGTACACCAGTCACTAAGGTTGTTATTGTAAAAAAACAATAAAACTTCTACAATAATAATAATAATTTTAACCCCAACTAGAATAAAAATAAGTGAGCCAGTTTTGTGTGATGGTCAAAAACACCGAGCTAGAAATCAGGAGACTGTGAGTTCTAGGCCTGCTTTAGGCACAGGGTCAGCTGGATGACTTTGGGTTGGTCACTCATTCTCAGCCATAGAAAGGAGACAATGGCAAACCATTTCTGAAAAACCTTGTCAAGAAAAACCAAGGGCTAGTCTAGGCAGTCACCAGGTGTCAAAAACTGACTTGAAAACACACACACACACACAAATCAAACATAAATACAATTTTGGATAATAGAGTTCTTTGTACCTTTGAATCACTCGTTTCTGCTTGGGAAGACACTGTAGGTTGTTTTGTGTTTTTTTTACATTTTTTTTAAAGTGGTTTGGCTGTAAGGCTGAGAGAAAGTGATTGAGTCAAAGTCACCCAGCTAGTTTGGGTGCTTTTAACCGCAATATGTTTTAGCTCAGTGCTTTTAACTGCTATACAAAACTGGCTTTCATAAATTAGTATTTGATGAGCAAATTCTCTTGGTAAGATTTCCAATTTATATTCAGTAGACTATGTTCATATTCTTATTATGATAAAGTCTCAAATAAAATTATTTGTGGCAACTATACAGAAGTTGGGTTTTTTTTTCCTGAATGTGGAAAAAGTTAGGCCTTAACATTTGTAACACAAAGCTGGACCAAGACATTTTGAATCCTGAGATAAAGGACAAAGTGATCTTGATCCTACTCTACATTTAAAGCCATTTAATCTAGTTAAATTCTACAGAATTTACTCCTACTACAGAATCCATCATGTCAGGCAGCACTACACATCTTACCACCCGCCCCAACATTCTGTATTTGTCATTTGATGGGGCTACTTTGACTAATACTGTGGATGATCCTAGGTATGTAATTACTAAATATTTCTCGCTTTTAAATACCAAAGAAAGGAGACTTGTTCTACTAGAGAAACAACTGGAGGATTGTAGCAAAGGGAAAATCCATCCTCTACAAAGGCTATTCTGACAGATAGCAAAGGTCAACAAAGAGAAATCTAGAGACACCAACTTGATTACTTTGCATTCTTAGTTTGAATCTGTTTTGATTTTGCTAACCTAAATGCTCAAGAGACTGAGAAGAATAAATCTCACCAGGTTCTCTACACCTTTGGAGAGTCCAGTGTTTGCTTTATGTTACTCACTAATCAGCACTACACATTTGTGACTACACAAGTCTCTGCCAAAGTGATAAAATGTTTTACTTATTCAAGTATTATAAGAAAGTCAAAATCATAACAATATTTCTAAAAACAACCACACTGGTTCTATTATATCACACATGTTTTAAATTGCAATTGAGAACCTTGACCTGCCCAGAAAAACTAGATCTTTACAAGATTAGAAAAAGTTTGAGTGTTAGACTTTATTTCCTATTTATGTGCTTGGTGTTCTGATCTATCTTGCATCACTGATCCTTCCATAACAGGACAGTTTGAAGGATTCTTTCATGTTGCTTATGTTAAAGAACAAGTGAGATAAATTCGTGTCCAATTACTATGACAGAATCTGAATTTAATGATTTGTGTGCTTATGATGTAACATGGAAATTTGGCTCAAATTCTGGCATAAAAGAGGAAGAGCTTTCAAACTGTTTCCAAAAGTGGGTTATCTTTTAAGAATAAATACTGAATGCTAAAGTACCCTGAAGATTGGTATAAAGAGTTCTACATCTCCAAGAGATCCAAATTCTTTTCTGGAGCCTGTCAGCAGAAAAGAAATGAGGGAACAGCAATATTTTTTTTCTTTCCCTCAATAGGTTTTTTTTCTAGCTCTAGGGATTATAAAATTCCTCTTTCCCCTGTCTGAATATAGCACACCCTCTCCTAGTATACTGATGGTTGGTCCACTTATCTATCTCTATTTTCTTTCTCTGACATCAGAGATCCAAAACTGGGGTTTTAAATAAATTCTTATAAGCTGGATGTGGCAGTTTCAAGGTTGAATCTCCTTCAGGGTTGGTCCTCCCTCTCCCTGCCTCAGAGAATTTATCCTATTCTATAGTCATAGAGCGGGGGTGTCAAACTACCGGCCTGCGGGCCGGATGCGTCACGTAGAAGCCGTGCCTACCCCATTGCTGACAATGGCAAAACTGTCCCGATACGTTGCGCAACATCATGTGATGTCGCGAGTTTGACATATCTGTCATGGAGGAATCTCTCTAAGCCCATAAGACTATACATTAAATTGCATTGTGCGTTGCACAATGTAAAACAAAATATAGGTAGAAAACATGCCCAGACAAATTTTATGAATAGGTTTTAGACTCAAAAGTCTAGGAAAATAATGGTAGCATTTCTTCCAGTGACTTTAGAATACAGGAAGAAAAATGGTTATGAATCCATCCTAGTTCATTAGATCAAAATAATTATTGAATCCAAATGGAAATCTGAGTAGATTTCAGATGGCTTGTGGATGTCAGGCTTTAGCAGAAATAATAGAAATGTAGCTGGTCACATTCATTCTCACCTTTAAACAGGAACATAGTCTTTGGAGAACACTCTACATATGGATACAAATTCCGTTTGGCCATGTAAGAACAAATTCATTTTTTCAATTAAAAACATTGATTTCATTAACGATTTACAATACAATTGCAAATAGTATTTTACAATACAATTCCAAACATCTAACCAGAATTTCATTTAAGTTCAATGGAATATATTCATGTATAGTTCTAAACAGTCTAATGCCCTAACAGAGCACTCCAATGAATGTTTACTCAGAAATAAATCCCACTATAGTCAGTAGTATTCTCTCAGTCTTAAGTGTCTGTTAGGATGGCATGCTTATTATGGGGACTGTGATTTCTGCTTCAACTGCCTCTCTATATAAGGCCAAGTTCAACTACAAAACTCCTGGCTGATGTAAAGCTGCACTATCCTTAAGTACTCAGAATGATATGAGCAGTCTGTAGGATTATATTCAAGATCCTGACCATGAGCTATTTCCTACTTTGTCAATTGTTATTCTCAGTGTGTTCCATTGCAGAAAACCTGTTACACTAAAACCCTGCACTGCAACTCCCTGGCATTGGTTGCTTCAATAAACTGGTTGTTACAGTTTGCTGCCTGATTATTGAAAAAACAGAGGGGCAGGGGGGAATAAGCATATGAGAGGAGCAGGAGCAGGGTGATTAAAAAAAAAGTTTTTGCTGTGTCCTAGACATATTCCTTTAATGGCACCTATTATTTCCACGCAGTAAATGTTCTCATTGACATTAATCAGGATTATGGTTGAGAGAAGAGTTAAAGTGCCCAGATTCCATAGTTCCTATCCAGCTAGTGAAAAATTCAGCAGTACATATCATGTGACAAACTCCATATTGAGTTGTGCTAATTCTAACTAGCATTTGGGATTTAAAATCAATCTCCAAAGGATAGAAGAACATAGTATTACTATAAAAACATCATTAAAGACAGACGGTTTTAAAATTCAGATACATGTAAAATGTCAGAGAAAATCCTCAAGAAGGAAACATTTTAATCAAAGTGTCCAAGAATTATAAAAAAAAACTTACAGGAAAAAAAAGAAAACAAGCAGAAATCAATCTTCATAGTCTCAGCTTCCCGGAAAAAAAAAGATTAAGATGCACTTTCTTCAAATAACTGTGAAGGGGTAGATGCAAGATCAACAGCTATATTGCTTAATTGCTTTTTCTTTTCTTCTATTATTGAAGCCACACTCTTAAAAAAAGAAAAAAAAATAGCAAGTTAATCACCAGAGGAAAAACAATGTTCAAAAAACTAGAAGTAATTCAAGTAAGATGGATCCCTACCTGTCTGTTCAAGCCTCTGGCCATGTCCAGAGCACCCTTACCAAACTGAAAAATAACACATCATACAAATGACATATTCAACTTACTCTTTAAATACTATGTAGGTAGGTATATGTTTGCAGAAAGAGAGAGAAATATAATACCTCATTTTTAATATCAGGATCTGCTCCATTCTCTAATAATAAGGCAACCAAATCTTCATGATTATTTAAAGCTGCCACCTGTAAGACAAGGAAAGAAATATTCGTAGTTTAATGTTATATGTTTTTCAGTAACTGGGGAACTTAATGGGGATTTTCTGCACAAGACAAAATTCATACTAAATGCCACTTGTATATAAACTGAATCTCATATGTTCTTTGCCTTTTGCAATGAAAATATGCAAAGGTGCTAATGTGTTGAAAATAAATACATTCACTGAATGATATCTCTTACATGAGGGATTCCTTCAATTTCTTATGTAGCAAATTCAGATAGGTGGCTGTCCATCCTTTTCTTAAAAACCTCCAGTGATGAAGCACCTACAACTTCTGAAGGCAAACTGTTCTACTGGTTAATTGTCCTCACTCTAGGAAGTTTCTCCTTAATTCCAGGTTGCTCTGTCCTTGATTAGTTTCCACCCATTGTGTCTTGTCCTGCCCTCTGGTGCTTTGGAAAATGACTTGATCCTCTTTGTGGCAGCCCCTCAAATATTGGAATACTGCTATCGTGTCACCCCTAGTCCTTCTTTTCTCTAGACTGGCCATACCCAATTCCTGCAACCATTCGTCATATGCTTTTGTCTCCCAGGCCCTTAATCATCTTAGTTGCACTTCTTTGCATTTTTTCCACATCTTTTTTGTAATGTAGTTACCAAAATTGGATGCAGTATTTCAGGTATTACTAAGGCTTTGTGAAGCGGTACCAATATTTCATGTTAATGTTGCTAAAACGCTTACTGTAAGCAGGTTTGTACCTAATGTCACTAGAAATTGAGATCATTACATTGGACTTGACTTTTTAAGGAGGCTTTATAGTTAAGTTTCATTTATAGTCAAAACAGTTACATATGAGAAGAGTGTTTTAATCCCAAATGGAGTATTCTTCTTCATGAGCCTCTCATCAATTTCCATTTCTTTTTTGTTTGTTTATATCCCAGTTGTTTCTCTGCATAAAGTTGCAGAAAAGATACAACAGAAATAGAATTCTCCAGAGAATAAATAGGCAACTCTTTTTCTCTTCAATGAAAATCAGTGTTTGTATTCTGTCAATAAGTGCTGTTATATAAGGAAACTGAAATAATACAGGCATTACCTAATATCAAAATGTTATTCTAGAGAAATTAAAGAAATACTTAGGCATCAAGATTTCTTCCTTTTCTGCCTTGGGCATAAGCAAACTATCATATTCTTGACCGTTGCTTATTCTATTGCTTTTCAATTTTGTGTTTCTGCCAAAGACAGAGAAACAGGCAAGAATGGCCAATTTTCTGCATAAAATGCAGGCCAGCAGACCCAGTAGCAAGAACCATAGATCTAAGGATTTCATTGTGGCAAATTTGGGCACTCAACAAAAAAATGAACAGAAATCATTAATGTGATTTCTTGTTCAATATGAGTATTTCCAAATACACTGATTTCATTTACACATTCTCTTTGTAGTATACATTTAAAACATATGTATGTTCCTAAAAATGTAATTTGCAAGGTGGTTATAACTCATCTATTCTCAAACAATACTATACTGAATTCCACTGCTCTCTAAGAATTCTGTTGATAGTTCTATAGAGGCAGTAAAATAGGCCTCTATAGGAGGGAACTGGATATTAATCAGCAACCATACTGTATGTGCTACCTCTTCCCCACATCATTAAAGTACCATCCCACCTATTTTTGTGCAGATAAATACTTGCTCACTACTGTATGTTGATTGGGGTAAAAACATGACAAAGTGCCTTTTGATCTTTATAACATCTACAAATGTAGTACTTCAGACAGATGAATTTCCAGTAAGAAGCCTCATCCCATTAAAGAAACATCTGAATCTACTCAGACTACTCTATTTCATGCAAAAAACCAGAAATGATATTTTGATATAAAATGCTTTGGAAGGAAAAATCTAAGAGGAATGAAGTCATGTTTTGAAAATGCCTTTAGCTTGGTAATGGTAAGAAATAATGTTCTTATTCAGGCAAAGATTGTTCCTATGGACAAATTAGAGATAATACATGATATCTGGCAGGCTTTCCACCTGTTTATACAAATATAGACCAAACAACTACCATGCAAATTTCCCCAGATATTTGGGTCAGAAGATTAGGTTTGTTCTGCTCCGGTTGAAGGTTTTGTTTTGATGAGTGGAGTCTTTGCTTTATCCTAGCAAGGAAAATTGTTATGTTTGTGCTTTTAACCATCCAGAATTATCTAGGTGATGTGCGCAGTCATATAATTCAATAAATAAAATGAATGTTTTTACATTTACTTTGAAATAAATTTACTGCTTTTTGTATATAATCAAAGGTATCTAAGTATAGAATGATGCAGTAGTCATAATAAATAAAAAATTCAAGTGAACATAAATTGACAAACATGCACAAATCAAAGGTAATTATGCTCATATTGCAATTCATTAGAAATGTTAAAGATATACAATACTTTCCTTGAAAATTTTATATCTATCACTAATTACTAATGATACCTAGGACTAATTAGTAATGACATCACACATAGCCACAAAGAGTCATGCTGATTGCTTGATTAAGAATGCAAATTGATATTCTTTAGTTTATTATCTTATTTATGGGACACTCAAATGATCCCATATACTTTAACATAAAGAATAGTGCCTCTCCTATTATGGAAAATAAGCTATGACTGAAAACTACTTGTTTCACAGTAGCAAAGAGCAGGATAATAATGTGAAGAATGATATAATGTTCAAGCATTTTTCCTGCGCTTGATTAAAATTTGTCCATTGGGTTGCCAGGTATTTATAAACCAATACTTTTTTCTTGGAGACAAGTGATAATCAAATCAGCCCTGGCACATGTGCAGTACCCAAAAAAAAAAAAAGACTTTCTGCATCATTTTGAATTAGGTAGAGGATCCATATTTCCTTACTTACCTTTGAATCAATTGTGAATTAAGGTGGAATTAATAGTGAATAATGAAGTGAGGAGTCTGAGACCTAGGAATGTTTGGAACCATTCAATACTGTATCAATTTCCTTACTGAGAAACATTCTAACATGTTACTTAGCAATACAGCATACCATCAAAGGTGTCTTGCCATCCTTATCTTTTACATTCACATTAGCTCCAGCGTTTATTAAAATTGTGGCTACATCTGTTTTTCCTGATAATGCACATAATCTCAATAGAGGAGTCCATTCCAAGCCAGAGTCTCTAGAGTCAACCTGTTACAGATACAGAAAAGTCAGAGCCACAACATTATTCTGAATGGTACCTATATTTTGTATCTCCTTTTAAAGTTTGCTTTACACGGTCTCGGTCTTTAACAGCTTTTTCAATCTTTCCTATATCAAACATTTTGGAAAAATACAAACAGACAAAGGGTCCACATTAAATAAGATTTTGGAATTAATTATAAGAATCTTTCCTATGGAAAAATGCTTTTGTTTTGAATTCTCTTTAAAAAAATGATAGGATGAAAGTTTGAAGATTAGAAAATAGAAGGAATCAGATGGAATTAAAGATTACTTAAATTTGACTTACTAATACAGAATGGAGCATAATATTTAATATTGAACATATTGAAGGATATTTTTGAACATAGACCAAAAAGTTAATTTTAAGAGTGTCTGCCTTTATATGTTTAAAGATTTTATGGTAGAGGAACAAGTTTTACTGGACAAGATAGAGACTAATATGAAAGTAGATTTAAAAATGACAACTACAAGAATGATATGGAAAACATGCTACACTGGATATACAAATGAAACTAGCTTATGTTTTAATAATAAAAAAGGATATACAAATTTGTAAAAAAACCAAAAGAATGACATGAATAACTTTCCTATATTTACAAAAGAGATGTGTTAATGCTTTGAAGAATTTTGTGAGAAAGTAAAAAAGAAAAAATGAAAATGAAATCAAGCTTTAGGATAGGGGTGTCAAACTGGCGGCCCGAGGGCCGGCTGCATCACATGCAGGCCACACCCATCCCAGCTCCACAAAGGCAAAAAATGTTGTGATACGGCACATGACACAATCGAGTTTGACACCCATGCTTTAGGACATTATTTGAAGGGACTAATGTTAAAGTAAAAGAAGAAATATAAAGTCGGTATATTTAATCAAGGTTAAAATAGATATGTTGCTATCTCTGGTTAACCTTTAATGATTATTTATTGATCAGAACTGAATGACAGGCCCTAAGGATTTGTTTGTAGACAAAGATAGAATATGGGAAGAAGAGAGCACTGCATTTTAAGAGAAGGTGATAAATTATTAAAATTGTTTATAATTGTGATGAAGGGGGAAGCCATTTCTTGATACATTTCTTTTCTTTTTCTTTACTATATTCTTATTATTTTTCTATTTCTTCTGCATTTTCTATTTTTTTAGTTTGTGTTAGTTTTATTTTTTAAAATGTAATAATATAATTCTGTTTTTAAAAATCCTTAATGCTGAAATTATTATTATTTTTTTAAAAAAGGTACACAGGATAGATGTAAAATAGCTGAGGCAATAACAGAAAAATGATATGAGTTAATGGCATGAAGGCTCTCTGTAATGCCTGACCTCAAATATATTCTTTAAAAAGGCTGGAATATTTTGATCTTTTATCCTAATGATCTACTGCTAACAGTACAACAGATTTACATTCTTCCATCTAACTAGCCTTTCACACAAATGAATGTTTTCCCAAAGTAATAGGAAAGGAAATATAGCTATCTTAATCCATTTGGAGTTATTGTGATGTATATCACAGTCCTAAACATGTCTAAAAAAACCCTAAGCATAATTAAATTTAATGAGTCTTATTTTGAAGTCAGCCTCAGAAAAGATTATAGCCTTAGCCCTAGCTATACTGAGCAGTCACTTATGTAAATAAGTAGCTTTGTTAGATAAAACATCATTTAAATAATTAAATGAATTTTATTTTGTTAACACTGTAACTTTGGCTTCTGAAATATGCCTCACAATATTAAAATTATATATGTAAATGCTCTATCTTAAAATGTATGGGAGGTATCAATGCCTTAGATCTATGGATTTTGCTCCTTTTTTTTCTTTATCACAGCCTAATGATTTACCATTCCAAAAATATTGGTTAGGGATGGGGAGGGAAGGGTCAAAAGAAGATTTGGGATCTAGAAGAAGAATGTAATGAAAAGGCACAAGTAGGCAGAAACAAATTGTGGGTGAAGAGATTTTCAGGGGGAGAGAGGACAGGGGTTGAAAGCAGGTAAGCATCCCCTTATATTTTAGTTTTTAACATTTAATCTCTGTTTATTGTAATATTTAATGTAATGTAAAGGGACATGGGAAGCATATAGATTTACTAAATAAATAAATATTTCCACTGCACAAGCAGCTTCTAGTCAAGCCAAACCAGATCACCTTATATTTTTCTTGCTAAATTAACATTACAGTAAATTAAAATGTAAATGCATCATTTTAATCTTTTAAGCTTCAAGCTTGTTTTTATTTTTCCATGTTGATAACAATGATGAATATTAATAAAAGTTATAACAGGTTTTCCACTAAGAAAATTAATCCAGTGGTAAGATACAGTCTAATTACAATAATTAGATTGTTATAAAAGCATTCCTACCTAAATACAGATAGTCCTCAATTTACAACCATACATTTAGCAAGTGTTACAATGTTACAATGGCTCTGAAAAGAGAGTCTTACAACCAATCCTTGCATTTATGATTGTTGCAGTATTCCCAGCCATGGGCTCAACAATCAGGCACTTGGCAACCAGCATATATTTATGATAGTTGCAGCATCCCAGAGTCACATGATCTCCACTTGCTATTTTCCCATCCAGCTTCCGACAAGCAGAGTCAATGGGGAAAGCCAGATTCAATTAATGACCATGTGACTCACTTAACAACTGCATTGATTTGCTTAACAACCATGGCAAAAAGGGTTGTAAAATTGGGGATGACTCACTTATCAACAGTCTTGCTAGCAATGTAAATGCTGGTCCTAATTGTGCTCGTAAGTCTAGGACTATCTGTAATGCATTGTTTACACATGTATCTACTGATGCATTACTCTATCTTCTTCAGTATTTTATATAAAGAAGTATGTACATATCAGAAAACACAATGTAAAATGCTGTTTTTCATAAGTTACACAAATGTTTCCAATACCTTACAGCCATCCTGGATCATCCATTCAATAACATCACAGTGCCCTCCATCCGTAGCCCAATGCATAGCTGTACATCCCCCAAAATCCCTGCTTAGCCAGGAAGCCCCTTGGGATCTGAGATATTGGACAATATCCAAGTGACCAGCAAAACAAGCTGTCATTAAACTGTAAAATAAAAGCATTTGTTAAGGCTAAAGCACTCATTTTGAATTGCTGAGAGATGGAAAGTAAATAATTAAGTAACCCCTATGTTAGTCTACATACACTTCTAGTTAAATATTAATTTTCATAGAAGATTTATTTTTTTACATTGTATATTGCTATATTACATGGTAGAAGTATGAGACAATCTCACCATTTGTGAATGTAATCCTTTGTTTGGATTTTTGGTAACTATCATCTTAATTCGTTTCTTAGTGAGTAGGTAATTAATTTCCTGCAGCCCCAAATGCTAGATAGCAAGAAATATTTTGTAGTATATAACTTTTTTAAAAAATGCTGGAACATCAGGTTCCTTTGCTTCTTCACACTAATATAAGAAAATAGTTATTTCATAGATGGGCATGTAAGAAGTTTGTTTATCTTCCTTCTTGACTCAAAGCTTCAGAAACCAAAAGCAAAATTTCATTAAAAATTAAAGTTGCTGATTGCGGTTTCTGATGAGGCAAGTAAACTAATGCTCTGAGGATTACAGGGGTATTATAGCTGAAAAGATAACTAAATGTGACTGCAAAATTCTGTTTGGAATAAAGAGAGATCTGGAGATTGCCCTTTTGTACTCTGAACAGCTGATTTTTGTGAATAGACAGCCAAAATTGATGTTTTTGCAGTCACTTACAACCATCTACCGTAGGAATCACAGGCTCTATCATGCACTGAGCCATAACTGCAATCTTTTATGGACTTCCTCAGAGAATGAGGATCCAGTTTGTATCTGCTTGTTTGAAAAGTAGGTGCAGTCATATATCCAAGTTTCCACACAGATGCAACATAGATTTGTTTCAGGCATTCACACATTCCCTCAGAAATGTACCCACAGGCACTCAAATCAGTATTGAAGTGCCTGGCTAACTGAGCCACATCCTGGTGTTTTTCAAGGATATGCTGATATCCAGAGGCAGCCTTACCCGACCCAATCTTTGTACCTTGGCAAATATTAAGACAGAGTGAAAAAAGGGCATTTACAACAGGAAAAGTAAAAGCAAATGGCCTACAGATGAGGAAGTGGAAGTGATGTCAGCAGACTGAATTAAAATCCCTTGATAGGATAATGCTGCTCACTTTGGCTTGTGGTCCTGGCAACTGAATTAAAGTCCTCTTGCCTGCTTGCAAGAGGTGACGTCACCACAAGCCATGGTGAGCAGCATTATCCTGGTGAGGACTCTACTTGGTGCTTAGAGCTTTGCCTGAAGCTTGGGAGCTACTGGAAAAGGAGCAACCACAATGAAATAGTACCTCATCCCAACTACAGGTCGTCCTCAAGTTACAACCATAATGGAGCTTGTCCATTAGGGCCGAAAGCCGGGACAACGTTAAATGAACTGCCTCAAGTAACAACCAGCCATCTCTGCTCTCCCCAATGCATTCTTAAGTGGAGCTCAGGGCTGGGGGAGATCCTGGGTTGCCAAGTGCAGGTACAAGCCCATCTTCTTCAGGCCTCTCAAGGCCTCCCCCAACCCACGGTCCATTTCCGCCACTGCACTGCTATCTTGCCAGTGAGAAACAATGGAAAGGAAAATGCTGGGCACACATGCTTTTCCTAATTCTGCCCCTGCTCTCCCTTCTGCCAAGGTGCATTTGCCTTTTGGGGGCAAAAGAAGGACCAGTTCATAGCCTTTTAGAGCCTTCCAATGGCCGATCAGCTAGCCATTGGGAGGCTGCAAAGCTTTCCTGCCTGCCGCTAGGCTTTGGAAACTGGTCCCTGCATAAAACTTCAGGCGGCAACTTCAGGATGAGCTTCTCAAAACCTTTCCCTTGCTTAGCCCTCTCCCTTCCTCCTCCAGCAAGCCATATTTCTTCAATAAACCAAACAAAAAAATCTGGGAGAGACGGACTTGTTGATCTACTCACACACACCCGTGCTCCAATTAGGTGCTAAAAGTAAACTCTCCACCTCTGTTCTCGAATTTCTATTCCCTCTTACCTTGACTCCAGGTTAAAAAGTAGAGGAACAGAAGCAAGAAGGAAAAAAAATCTTTATGCGGTTTTTCCCTTGAACAGGAAAAAAAACCATTCATCTCTAAAAGTTAGCCAATCATTGTAGAAACTCGGACAACAAAATGGAGGACACTAGGTCTTTGCAAGCTTTAGCTGTTCATCAGGTTGCATGTAAAGCCCATCTAGGATTTAAAGGCCAGACTGTAGATTGTTCTCTACAGTTCAGGGGAAAAGCTGCAGAAAGATTATCTTCCCAATTATGGACTGTATCAGCAATTTTAAAAAGAGGATAAAAGTTAATTAAGCATGTTTATTACACAATCCAAACTCAAGAGGCATATATCAAGTTTTCAGTCTTAAATCCTGTGACTTGAAAGAGGTCTATATATTCCCTCAAATGTACAGGTTAATATTATTAATGCTCTTTTGTGAAGGCTTTAAGTATTGTAGAGAACGATGGTCCAGTGGCTAAAATGATGGTCTAGGCACCAGGAGACTTGGGAATGAAAGCTGTCTGGGTAATTGTGGGCTAGTCACTCACTTTCAGCCCAACTCATTTCACAGGGTTGTTGTTGTGGCGAAAATAGGAGGAGGGAGGAGTATTCACAGCCTTGAAATATTTATATACAAAATAAAGTCTGGATAAAAATCAAATACATAAAATAAATAATTCTCTTAATGACAGAAGTGATTTGATTAATAAAAAGAACAAAGCTGTTTGATACAAAAATTACTTTTTAAAAGATTAGAAAAAATTAAACTCAGTTGCTTTATCCTGCAGTTGAGAAACTGAACAATATAACTGTCTTGATTTCATACAACGATCTTAACATTGATTTCAGTTAAATTAGATCAATATGACCTTAATGAAGTAAGTACTTTGTAAAGCTGGTTTCCATTATAATTTTTACAAGTGAATAAACACATATTTTCAGTTGAATGAGATCATTAATACAGTAGAAAACATTCTTCATATACATGTGAATTGTACATGAAATTCAGAAATAAATGACTATACTTTCTTCACTTTTCAGGAACTTTGCTTTGTATATCTCTAATTACATATTATCTGCTCAAATATTTATAAACATCAGATTGGCATTGGATTGTAAGTAAATATTACTTTACCTAATATCTAATATTGAAAGGTAAAAATAGTTATATACAATGCTATAAAAATGCTATGTGATGTTTTTGTTTGATTACCTAGGATACATTTTCATTTGTCAAATAAATTTAGCTAGAATTAAGGCACCATGAAGGATTATCAGCAGCACTTTTTTGTGCGGCTGCTGATAAAAACAGCATGATCGCCAACGTCCAATAACGGATATGGCAGAAGAAGAAGGAGGAGGAGGAGGAGGAGGAGGAGGAGGAGGAGGAGGAGGAGGAGGAGGAGGATTATATGCTTCCCTCCCCCAAGAGTGAATGGACTCAATGCAATTTGTTTTGCCTATATTGTCCACTGCAATATTAATGCATTAGTACCAAACATTTACATATGATTGGTAGTAAGATTATGCAAACCTTTCAAAGAATATGCTTCACAACATGCATGTACAAAGCACCTCCTTTCAAATAATTAAAGCAGATACATTCAGGCTGATTTTGCATGCTGGGGCATGTATAGTCTTTTGCAGGAAAGACAATAAATGAAATGGTAATGTATGTACACACACGCTGAGATAGCTCTGAGCAACTTCTGAAGTAGCTGAGTTAGTTTGGAAAGATGCTGCAGTTTTTATGGTCCCCCAAGAAGTATTTTATAATATTCTCATGCATTGTAAAATATTTTTTCCAGTTTACATAGCCTAATTGATATTCTCAATTATTTAACTACTCTCAGGCAAATAAATATATTTAATGTAATCTTACATATTGCATTTTATACCTGTCTTTTCCACTGGCATTTTTCAGGTTCACATCTGCTCCATTTTCTACCAAAACCTGTACAAGCCTAGAAATAAAAAAGTAGCTTCATATTATTTCCATATTTACCTCATATTGTTTTCATAACTAGCTTCCTTCTATAGTTTGTAAAAATACATTTCAAATTTAGATGTCAATTTTAATGAGTCCTTTAGTGAATGAAATTAAAAATAACTTTCAATCTCAATTTCATAAACATTGTTTTATAAGCTAACAAGTCATTGCAACCATAGGTTCAGGGTATTTTAATCTATAATTGATTAAATAATATAGAGCAAGAAAAGGCAACCAATTCTCAATGTACAATAAAATACTGTAATATAGAACAATTGCTAACCATATTACAATGATATGTTTAAAAATCAGAAGGCTGAAAAAGGGTACTTAGAACTATCATTGTAGTGGTGATAAGTTTTATTTGATACGTGTTTATATCCAAGCCCAGTGGCAATATATTTTTTAAAAAATAACACCCATAAATGAGAGCAATGTATTTGACAGCATAGATGGGCATATCTTCTGTAGCTCAATTTGAGATTTAATATTTGAACTTTAATAACTGAATAGCGCAGCCTGCCCTATGGGTCATAGCTATAGAACATGTGATCAAGAGTAGCACTCTATATACAGAAAGTTACATATATTTCATATAAAATTCAAAAAAATTACAACAAATACTGAATACTTATAACTAAGGAAAAATTAACATAATCATATAGAGAGTGATGGGAAAGAACCGATAAGTCTTTTGGAGTTAAATCTTCAAGTGCATCAACAAATAGCCATTCTGTTTTGAAAGCATTATTATGTTCATATAATTCTAAAAAAGACATTAATAATGATGATCTAAACAGATGCTAAAATATAAACTTAAGAATGTTGAAATAAAATATATAAGAAAAATAATGCCATACCTTGTATATCCTTTTTGTGAAGCAACCATCAATGCTGAAAGTCCTAGTTTATTGAGTGTATTTACTATAATTTGCCTTTTAAAGGAAAAAAAACCATTATCCACAGTTTTTCACTTATCTCATTCCTGAATAATATTTTGTAATCATAAAATAAAAAAAAGTATTAATCAGTGACTTCTTCAACACATTCAATAGTTTTGTATAACTGCCACTGTTTATGGTGGTGGGGGAAAATTGAAGTAGGGAACACTAATACTAATTTGAATTCTTGGTGGAAAAACTAGATAGAAGTTTAAGTAATACATGTCTTTATTTATTTATTTATTTATTTAATGTATGGCATATCGTATGTGGACTAGCAATATATATTAACATTTCACCTAGAATAGTAGAACACAATAAAATATAAATATTAAAAAGATCTATGTTCAAATATCAATGGCTAGGCATCTAACCATTGAAGCGCAATACCATTTATATTTTAAAAAATCAGATACTGGACAGTACCATTTATATATTTTAAAAAATCAGATACTGGACAGTACCATTTATATATTTAAAAAAATCAGATACTGGACCAGTATATGTCTTCAGCTTACAGGTGGTCATGATGTGATTTACAGTTTGATGTGGGACCCCACAGTCACACTGAGGGGAAGATACTATCCCCTATTTATACAGCGAATCCCAGCAGATACCTTCTGAGGTGCAAATCCTATTCAGGATTGTCCACAGCTGATGTGGTAGTTCAAAGCTTGGCACTTTTTTTATGCGGTCATTTATATGCCTTCCTATGTCTGGGAGTTCAGCTACCCACTTGGCTTTCCACTGGGAATCGATGTTAAAGTTGTTGGGCAGATGTTGTGCAAGTGCCAGTGGGGACTTCTTAGGTTTGAGCCTTTCGGTTGATAAATGAGGAAGGTCAGCATGCACCACTAGGAATGAACTGTTCATAATGTTTCTGTTTTCTCTCACTAGTGAATCTTGTCTTCATAAAGCTGGCAGTGCTATATGGCTCACTTATAATCCTCATGGTGGCACTGATTCTGATGTCTAACTTATTAGTATGGCAGCTGTTAAGCCATACAGGGGCACAGTATTCTGCTGCGGAGTAGACCAACTCTAGTGCTGATGACCTGAGGGTGGCAGCTGAAGCTCTCCATTTAGTTCCACAATTTATGGAGTAGATTGTTCCTAGTACTGATTTTGGCAGCCATATTCTCTAGATGTATCTTATAGGAGAGAGTCTGGTCCAATGTTACTCCAAGATACTTTAGATAGAGATTGCAGCGGAGTAAGTTGTTTAAATAAACCATCAGGGCTTCATATCGTAGCTTGATGTTAAGGTGGAAGCATACAGTTACCATTTTACTGGTGCTAAGAGCGAGGCTCCGGTTAGTGAAAAAATTTCCTAAGATTTAAAAATCTTTGGATAGGCGGCTATTTGCCATTATCATGTGTTTTTCTTGTACTGCTATGAACAAATCATCTAGTATATGAAAGGAATTTAGCACTGAATTTGGTTGATAGCCAAATACCACCAATAAAGGTAACATTTCAACAACTCTTCCTGAAATTGCATGTTGATGGGTGGACTTTTGCTGAGCTTTGGTTGCTGTACAAGTTATACCTCAGGATGCCTCAGGATTCATGCCTTGATGCACATGGTTAGACTACTGTAATGGTTCTACATGGGTCTGTCTTTGGAGGCATCTCTGAACCTACAGTTGGTATAAAATGTGGTAAAAGACTTCTCATAAGACAACCTCTAACAGTAGAATTACATCTTATTCTCCATTGTCTCCTGGCTAGCTTCCAGACTCAGTTCAAAATCCTAGTAATTGCTTTTAAACCTCTCACTGGCTGCACCATGTTATATCAGGCACCATGTTATACTGGGCAAGAGAGAACCTGCCCATTCAGTATGAATACCTAAAGAGGGCCCATTGACAGCCCTCACCCCATCTCTCTTCTGCTAGATCTGTGAGGTATAGGCCAGACAACAGGCCTTTTCAGTGCTGGATTCATTTTTTGAAACACCTTATCTTCCTAAGTAAGGATAGGTCCCCCTATCTTGTATTTACAAAGCAACTAAAAACGTGGGTTATTATAGTGAGCATTCAGCTCCTTTGCTTCTTGAGTATTTAATTTTAACTTGTATTTGTTTGCACTTTATATTATGGTTTGAATTGTGCATACCAGTTATGTTGTTTGCCATCAAGTTTATTGAAACAGCTTATATAGAGAGTAAATAATAAATAAATATATATAGAGAGAACATAAATTGCTATATGGTGATACCCAAAAGTTCAATATAAAATGCTGGTCTGCAGAGGAGAGATTCAAGAGCAATCAATACAGTTTAGACTTGTTCAATAAATACTATTATCTAAATGGTTGCAGGGGTACAACAGCAGCTTTCATGAAAGAAAAAGCTTGGAATCTGCTCAGTCTGATTTCTTCTATCATCATGTCTCTGTGACATTACATTTTAATTTCATTCTAAGAGTTCAGAGATAAGGTTGAAATGTGAATTCTTTCAATGTCATCTAATTTTTTAACATATTTATTACTATTTATGCAGTACTTTCAGAACTGTCAGAACAGTATTTTTCTCCCATTTATCATTAACTAATCATTTAGGATTAATCAATGGCTAATAATTATGACTAACCCCATTTATGATTAACCAGCAGTTTTTAATCTGATGCAAAAGATAGTTCCAGTCAATAAAATTGTATGCCAAAATTAAATTCCCCAAAAAATTTATGTAGGAATTTGTATATTCCTAATACCTACTAATAAGCAGTGCTTTTTTTCTAAATAAAAAAAAAGGTGCCGGAACTCACACACGTCATACAACCCGCCTTGCCCTACCCTACAAGGTTCCATCCCAAAAAGGTGCCGGAACTCCGTTCTGGGCGTTCTATGACAAAAAAAGCCCTGCTAATAAGTAAGTCTAAAGCTACAAAACTATGTGCTGTGGTACCTTGGGTTACTGCATCAAATTCAGAGTGGCATCTGGACATCTGGGATATTTTGCAGGGCACAGTGAAAAAATTATTAAGACATTAACGTTGCAGTATATCAAGAAGCTTGGGAAATGCTGAACTAAGTCACTGATCAGTTTCTTCATCTTCATAATAACATATTATCCAGAAAGTACCAATGTTCATAAGGCTTAAAAATTAGCTTTCTTTAAATTTATAGTGAAATGTGGAAAATCTAGACCACATCTGGAAAATCTCTACCCTTCAGAGGCGGTTAAATAGGTGTGCATCAACTTCAGTTAAAACCTCAAATTCTGAAGATGCTGGGAATTGTAACATCTGGAGGACCCAGATTTCCACTTCTGATCTATATAGTCATCAATTTACAATATATCTTTTTCACCTCCATGTTCAGCCAGAAGTGAAGCCATTCCCTATGTTATTTTTTAAAAGAATTAGCTCTATTTGTTCTTACTCCGTTCTTCTCCCTACTATATCAATTTTGTCACTTGAGTTACTCATTTCTCATTCTACAAGTCCACGTTTTCCCCGCTTGTGTAACCATCTTATTCCACCACTTTCATACTGCTTCATTTTATTCCTGATTTGGCAATTGCTTAATCCCCACTAGAAATAGTTGTGGTGGTGATGATGGTTACCATCAAGACATATTAGAATATAAACACAGAACAATAATAAGATCATATATAACAGAATAATAATATATGGCAATTTCCTCTATTCAAGAGTAATCTGGTATATATATTAGCCACAAAAACTATTAGACTGGTGAATCTATGGTTGTTAGGATCCTCTTCATTCATTTTTTGTACATAGGAACTAAAATTATATTTTAATTTTTAATTTTAATTTTTACTAATATAGGAACTAAAATCAAACTAGGATACAGCATTATTATTTATACAAATAAATAAACCCCCTGAGAGATGAGCCCACCAGACAAAATATCTTTTAAATAGACTGGGCAGTGAAAAGTTCTTATGAGGGGCTTTGCTGGTCTTCAGACTTTTATGATAGATGTAATCTTGTTTTCTAAAACTGGTGACCAATGGGGGTATACCATCTATTGGTGGTAAATCACTATTTAGTAATTGTTTCTCAACAAGTTCCAAGAGAGCAAGCAAGTAATAATAATCATTTTGCCCCTCCTCAGCTGAGATTCAAATACAAATGTTTCTGTTCTTTCAGGAGTCCAGCCACTAAATGCCAAAATATTTTCAAATTATGACTTCTAGAAATAGTACATGAACGGGACCCCCCACTAAACTTCTTTCCAAATAAGTGCCACTACTGTTCAGCATAGACAGCAAAAACATACTGCAAAAACCAATGGCAATATAGGACCATACAGATCTTCAGAAGATAACTGACTAGAACAGATAGATCTTAGCAATATACTATCTCCCTTCATGAGAGTGAATGACAGACAGCATTGCATGTATTACCACATAAGCAGGCTGCTTCTCCCAGCCTAATGCTACAATTATATTTGAATTTTTCTTTAAAAAAACATCCACCATGATAAACAGTGGTACAGAACTGATTATTCAAGATCTTTGAACTCCTCTCCCTACTTCCTCTACTGAATTGCAGTGTCTGTGATAACTTTTTCTCCCACACTAGAAGATATATAAGGTCTTTTCTGATATTCTCCCCAGAGTGCTGCTATGCTCCAATTTTCTTCTCAGCTCTACTCTCTTTCAGAAAACTGATCAATGATTTAGGAGGCTTATAGCACCAATGCTGTAAGTGCTCTGGTTTAAGTCTGTCCTACTTCTGTTCCATACGACATTCCTTTCTTATGAACTATATAACTTCCAACTCCATCATTACACACATTTAAAATGAGACCCAGCTCATTCCTTGATACACACAGCTTGCATGCTCTATTGTCATCTTTGTACTGGCTGAGAAGCAATATAGGCTACTAATTTCTTACAGTAGTCTAATTGCTAGCTGCGCCATGCTGAAATGGGAGTCCTGCATCTTGCATTTGTAGGAGATGAGCCTGAGAGCACTGTATGTTTCCCCATTGTTGCTCTATTGGAGGAATCTCTTTTTTAGCAGCACACATTGCTAATGATGCATTGTCTTGGATTACCTGAAACATTATTGAATCCAAGCCAATGTTATGAGAATGTTCCATTATACGAATTATACAATTATACAATTTGTTACTACCGTAGGTTTAAAAGAAATGCAGCTCAATATATAGAAGCTCATGCAGTTTTCATTATTATCTTTAATCAGCTATCACTCATATACGTACGTTATAAAGTGCAAATCCTTTCTTACCTTCCTTGAAGAATAATAATAACATCATCTAAATCATTCCTGCTTACAGCACGGTGGAGCTGTTCCCCGCTCATTGGCTCACCTAAAGAAAAGAAAGGAAGTTAAAAATGTCTATATAGGTGTTCTTGTCAATTGTTAAAAATCTCATATAATTTATTAACTTTCACGTGTTTCAATACAGCATTTGGATATCTTTAAAAGTTCCTGTTTTATTAATAAAAGAATTGTTTAAAAGATGACCTCAAAGTCTTCTATTAGAAAATGCAAGAACATTATTTTGAAAACTGAAACATTTTTCCCAATGAATACTTATAAACAAATAGTATAACATATATAGCTTATTTAGTAGATAGATAGATAGATGGATGGATGGATGGATGGATGGATGGATGGATGGATGGATGGATGGATGGATGGATGGATGGATGGATGGATGGACGGACGGACGGATAGACAGATAGATAGATAGATAGATAGATAGATAGATAGATAGATAGATAGATAGATAGATAGATAGATAGATAGATAGATAGATAGATAGATAGATAGATAGATATACAGTAGCTAGAGAGATGAGAGAAATAGATGAGAAGGGGGGAGAGAGAGAGAGAGGGAGAGAGACGATAATAGATAACAGACAGTATTTACATAACTGTTTTGATTTTTGCAGCACAATAAAAAGAAGTGTTATAAAAGTTATGAGCCAGAAAAATCCCTAGCCCATGGATATTTACATAAATGGAACCCTTCAGTTTTCCTGACAATAATACAGAAGTGGTTTGCTAATGCTACCTTTTGGAATGTTTTTGATTTCCCATTCAAGCCCTCAACACCACTATTTCCTAATGATCTTCCATCCAAGTATCTATCAGGTTCAACACTATTTAAAAACCAGTCAGTCAAATGCTTAAGTAATCAATTATTTTTTCTGCCACCTTAACTATCTACAATATGAAGAAATTAATAAAACTTGTATGAACAATGTTCACAAAAACACTAATCAGTTAAAATTAGATTTAATTTTTTTAAAATTATCCTTTATTATGCTGCAATGCACCTTTATTCTAGTCAAGCAATGGGTCTCATCAATCCCGGTAGGTAGGCTTTACAAATGGAAATATGGTTCCAATTAGTTAACATGGGGTTCACTATGAGACAGGTAGGAATGTGGGGCACTATGAAGCTGCAAAAAGTGATATGGTATCTGGACAAGCTAATATGGCTGGAAGGAGATAGCTTATTCACATTAAGCTGCCTGACCTAGCATGAAGAGATTGATCAGGAACAGGGTGTGAAACAATAAGGCATCCAGTCAGGACAGCATGGAGCACTAGAAACAGTGGTTGCAAATCAGTGAAAACACTATATTTGTTCATTTATTTATTGAAGAAAATGAACTAATGCTACATATTTGTGTGAAATGCAAACTTCTAGAACTATCAGTTTATTTGAAGGAGAAAATTAGAGTCAGGTGTTTGAATCAATGGGAAGATAATCAGATTGAATGTGGGAGCTTCTCATCTAAAGAATTATGGGTATTCACTATCGAAGTCTGAACTCCACCAACCAGGTTGTGGAAGTATGTCATGGCTCAACCAAAGGGAATTTCTGAAGACAGTTGTGGAAAGGTTACAAACTATTTCCAAAAAGTCCAACATTAGGCAGATTGCTTAATGAGGGCAATTTAACACCATTGTTACCCTCTCTATGAATGGCTGTCCAAACAACATCACATTGTAGCGGGGACTGCCTGAGAGTGCTGGCAGGAGCTTGACCGGGAAGGAAAAGATTGGGACAGCTGCAGTTGGCTTTGGGTGTGGCTGGCGTGAGTGGAAGGAGGAAGGATAGAAAAA